GACTCTATCTCAAAAAAAAAAAAAAAAAAGAACTGGGTTCACAACCCAATTTAACCTTATCACCTCAAAACTGCTAAGACGATGGTTCCAGGTCCTCCTAAAAAGGGGCAGCTAGACTAGGGAGCCGCTATAGACTTTTCGGTGCACATTACACTACTTTCCCCTCATCAATTCATGAATGACAGAAAATGTCAAACTTTTAAACAAAAACCAAATAGTGCATCCCAAAATCCAAAACAAATGACCTTGGTTTAACATTATTATGAAGTAAATATGCTGAGAAACTGAGTACATATAAACACACTATGCAAGAAAATTAAAAATTTGCACTATGCAAGAAAATTAGAAATAAAAAATTAAAAACCCAAATACAGGTAATGAGCCACTTAAATATAAGTAATAGATGTGGAGATTTGGTCATTTTGTTTTAGTCTAAGTAATGCAGTGTGTATCTAATTTGCAGGTGGAAAAAAAACTTGAAAGTTATACAACAGAAGATTTACAATAACCAGAAAGTTCAAAGACTGTAGCTACTTGTAACACTCTTGTCCACTAGGAAAGAATCCACAGTGGCACTGACTTTCTTCCTTCTATGGACATCAAAAAGTACTGAAAATGTTATGAATAGTTAGGAGAAACTCAAGAGACAGCCCAAGAGGCTGAACCAGTCCCACTAGATGGCACCATCACAGAGAAGTCACTCTACTCTCTCATTTGGAGATGCAGGGGCTGAAATCTTTTTTGATCTTCAAAAAACAAAGCTGTCATCAACACAGTGATACTCTCTTTTTTTTTTTCTTTTTGAGACGGAGTGGAGTCTTGCTCTGTCGCCCAGGCTGGAGTGCAGTGGTGCGATCTCGGCTTATTGCAAGCCCCGCCTCCTGGGTTCACGCCATTCTCCTGCCTCAGCCTCCCGGGTAGCTGGGACTACAGGCACCCGCCACCACGCCCGACTAATTTTTTGTATTTTTTTGTAGAGATGGGGTTTCACCGTGTTAGCCAGAATGGTCTCGATCTCCTCACCTCGTGATCTGCCTGCCTCGGCCTCCCAAAGTGCTGGGATTACAGGGGTGAGCCACTGTGCTCGGCCCTAACACGGTGTGATATTCTCATTGAGAAATAAGGATCCGAAATGAGAATTCAAAGCCAGGGAGAGGAGTTTTTCCAAAAACACCCTTTTCTCCCAGTATCATCATCCCCTCCACATCCCCATTTCAAATCAACAGTCTGAGAGGTACAATGTCTTACTGGTAAAAGAAGTAATACAAAGGCTGGGCACGGTGGCTCATGCCTGTAATCCCAGCACTTTGGGAGGCCGAGGCAGGTGGATCACCTGAGGTCAGGAGTTCCAGACCAGCCT